TTTTATAGTTAGTTGGAATAAGCCTTTTTGGATCTTTACTTTAGAGTTGATTAGCAGGTTGAGATTGGAATTAAAGGAAAAGGTTCAGTTCACCTTTCAGGCTACATTGAACCAGATGAAGAGGAATTAGTATATATTAAAATAATCTTTTTTAGAACGAAGACTTGGATTTTGAAGACGATGAGAGTGAGGAAGTTGAGTAATAAAAGGTTAAAAAACCTGAACCACCTAAATAAACTGAATAAGTAAAGTAATAACCAAAAGAACAATAAAAACCATAAACTTAATAATAATAAAAAACATAAGTATAATAATAAAAACCTTAAAACCAACAATAAAAAGCACAACCAGAATAATAATAAAAAGCTAAACCTCAAGCTACAACTTAAAAACAATAATAATAATAACCCAAAAAGGCAGATGAAGATTGGAATGATAATGAAGATGGAGAAGATGAAGAAGAAGAACTTCTTGACTAAAGTGATGTTGATGATGAGGAAGTGGAAGGAGACTTAGGAGATGAAGAAGATGATGACGAAGAAGATGTCGATGATGATGAAGATGACGATGAACCAGAATGTATAATTATTGTATTAAATTTATAGAAAATAAAAAATTCATTAAAGGCAATTAAGGATAACAAGTCAAGCCATAATAGAAATAGTAATAGAAACCATAACACTAATAATAATAATATAACAAATAATAACATTAAGGAAACCAATAATTTAAATAAGGATAGAAACCTTTCTAACAATAACATAAATAAGGACAATAATATCACCAAAACAAAGGAGGAAACTAAAACCAATAGAAAAATTTCAAGAAAAATAATAACTTTAATAATAATAATAATAATAGAAAGAACTTTAATAAAAAGAATAACAATAGAGGTGGATTCAAAGGAGGTAGATAATGAGTATCTAAATATTATGTGTACATTAAATAAAAATATTGTAAATATATATTAAAATATACTAATTTTTTTTCAATAAATATATTAGCTATTCCCTGTACCTTATTAAAATCCCTATGAGGAATCTACTTATTTTCTTTTTTCTTCACTTAATTGTTCTTTTTTATGATGAGCTGCATATTCAGAGCATACTTATTTTCCATTTACAGTCTTTTATTCTGAAATAACACCAGATCTTCCTGTTTACTAGCATGTAAATGTGACAGGTTGCAAAGTTCTTTAATTAAAATGTTCGTAAGCCCTAGCATAATATTAATTTTCTACTCTTCTAATAACTTATCCAAATTTTCACCGTAAATCTTCTTAAGAATTTTCCATGTTAATTCAATTGTAACACTCTCTTCATTACCATATTTAGTAAAGCATAGATCCCCAATCGAAACATCTAGTATACCATTTCTTAAATAATATGATGAAATTTGATTAGGTGAGAAATAGTATTTATCTATTATTATAAAATTCTCTTCCAGCTCTACCCCTGAAAAATCACAATATTTAGGTGACTTATATGTGATTAGACTATTATATTTCATTCCACACAGCTTATGTAAATAGTCATAAATCTTTTCTGTGTTTTCCTCTGTAGGATTGTTGATGAAGGCTATGATATCCTACTCCAATGTCTGTGGATTTTACATTTTTCTATTAAATTATTAAAAATAAATAATTTTTTTTTTCATTTAATGCCTAAATAGCAAATTTTGACCTCAAGGTTTAAATTATAATTTATATGATAAATGAATTCTAAAACCCGTATTCATGAAATGATTGGATAAAAAAAAAAGTGAAATAAAAAAACCTTCAAGCTTTTTAAAACTCACGATGTTAAGGTAAGAGAGATTCCCTCCTTAATTTAATTAAACTTGAAAAATGAATTGCTTCTAAACTAATTAACAAAATTTGATATCTTGAATACAAGAGTTTGATCAATAATTTGAAAAGCTAAATATTAATTCTATAATTAACTAAATACTAAATATAAGATTATTTAATTAAAAAATAAGTATATTTTTATTAAAAAATGGAGTAGCCGAGCTTCGCTCTCGGCGCCTCGTGAATGCAAATCACGCGCTCTACTAAATGAGCTACTACCCCAAGTTATAAATAATTTGAATATATGATTAATATACATAAGAGCAAAAGTCTGACTGATAGATACAAACTTTATAGTGATCCAATTTCAATTAACATTTGGATTATTATTTCAGAATACATATAGATGTTCACCTTATTTATTTTATAAACTGCAAAATTATTTTTAATAAATAAGGAACTTGATGAGATAAACTTTGAAGCAATAAAAAAAATACTGAATTTTGAAGATGGCAGTAGGAAAATATAAAATTAAATTCTTAAAAAAGGTTCCAAAAGTGAATTCATTTATTTTTGAGTCTTAATAAATTTAAAGTATAAATAGATTTCTTTGATCACTTTAAGGAGATAAAGGAGTTAAAATAAATAATACATTTCTTTTATGACAAAATAAAGAAATTAAATTGATTTTTCAAAATATAGATTGTTCAAAAAAGCAAAAATTAAGAAAAATAGTTTTCAAGAGTGCTGTTTAGCATAAAAAATAAATAACTTTATTACTCCTCAGTTGTGAGGTTCAAAAGCCTAAAAATTAAATAAGTAAAATATAGTATTTTACAAATAAAAAGCACAATAGAAGAAAAATTGAATCATTTCATTCTGAATAGTTTAAATCATCTTCTAAACTGAGAAAATTAATCAAAAATCCATCNGTGATTAGACTATTATATTTCATTCCACACAGCTTATGTAAATAGTCATAAATCTTTTCTGTGTTTTCCTCTGTAGGATTGTTGATGAAGGCTATGATATCCTACTCCAATGTCTGTGGATTTTACATTTTTCTATTAAATTATTAAAAATAAATAATTTTTTTTTTCATTTAATGCCTAAATAGCAAATTTTGACCTCAAGGTTTAAATTATAATTTATATGATAAATGAATTCTAAAACCCGTATTCATGAAATGATTGGATAAAAAAAAAAGTGAAATAAAAAAACCTTCAAGCTTTTTAAAACTCACGATGTTAAGGTAAGAGAGATTCCCTCCTTAATTTAATTAAACTTGAAAAATGAATTGCTTCTAAACTAATTAACAAAATTTGATATCTTGAATACAAGAGTTTGATCAATAATTTGAAAAGCTAAATATTAATTCTATAATTAACTAAATACTAAATATAAGATTATTTAATTAAAAAATAAGTATATTTTTATTAAAAAATGGAGTAGCCGAGCTTCGCTCTCGGCGCCTCGTGAATGCAAATCACGCGCTCTACTAAATGAGCTACTACCCCAAGTTATAAATAATTTGAATATATGATTAATATACATAAGAGCAAAAGTCTGACTGATAGATACAAACTTTATAGTGATCCAATTTCAATTAACATTTGGATTATTATTTCAGAATACATATAGATGTTCACCTTATTTATTTTATAAACTGCAAAATTATTTTTAATAAATAAGGAACTTGATGAGATAAACTTTGAAGCAATAAAAAAAATACTGAATTTTGAAGATGGCAGTAGGAAAATATAAAATTAAATTCTTAAAAAAGGTTCCAAAAGTGAATTCATTTATTTTTGAGTCTTAATAAATTTAAAGTATAAATAGATTTCTTTGATCACTTTAAGGAGATAAAGGAGTTAAAATAAATAATACATTTCTTTTATGACAAAATAAAGAAATTAAATTGATTTTTCAAAATATAGATTGTTCAAAAAAGCAAAAATTAAGAAAAATAGTTTTCAAGAGTGCTGTTTAGCATAAAAAATAAATAACTTTATTACTCCTCAGTTGTGAGGTTCAAAAGCCTAAAAATTAAATAAGTAAAATATAGTATTTTACAAATAAAAAGCACAATAGAAGAAAAATTGAATCATTTCATTCTGAATAGTTTAAATCATCTTCTAAACTGAGAAAATTAATCAAAAATCCATCTTAATCAATACTATTTAAACATTTAAAATCATTATAGTAAGATAAAGTAAATTTAACATTAATGTAAATTCTATTAAACAAAAACATAATACTAGTTAAATAATTAAATCGAATTATTTTAGGTAACATATTTATATAAAATAAAGCTTTTAAATTATAAATTAATAATATGACCACTATCTCAAAACTTAAATTTTGTTGTAAAGAGAATAATAGTTAATTTAATAACACTTGAAAAAGAACAAAAAATAGTTATGATTACTCAATAAAAAATACTTATATCTTTAAAATGCAAATATTGCTTAATATGCTCTTTTACTAACAAAACAAAAAGATTTAGTAGAAAAATCAATGTTTATCAAAATATTTTTAATTATAGATTTATTTTTGTTTACAATCCAAAGGATGATGTCGAATATATTCTTCTATTTTATTTTGCCAAACATGTAAATCGAGTTTGATTAAGAATCTCTATTGATTTATGCCAATTACTTTACCAAAATGGTTTATACTACAATATGCAGTATTTATATGGACTAACTCCCACTAATAAAATTTGTTTTTCTTGATTCTCTTTACTTAAAGTGGTAAAATAATACCACATATTTTTAGGACTGAGTTTAAAATATCTTATAATTATGAAGTTACTGATTAAACAATAGTTGAAAATGAAAAGATCTCTTCTTTTATGATTTATAATTTCATCAATATAAAGTTAGCTGGCCCAGATTTGATGAATTTTCTTGTAATGTGAGATGAATATTATAATTAATATTAAATTAAATACATGGATATTTTTAAGGATTTATTTGCTACATAAGGATTCTAACTATGCGTAAAGGCTGTATAAGATGTTCATCCAGATGGCGATTAAGAAGCTTTATTCAAGTAATGTTAATAAAACTATGCAAATGCATACAAAGTAGTTGGATAGGAATTTCTAAGATTCTTCAATAATCAGCCATCCAAAGACAGATATGGCCCTCCAGAAGAGATCTGATTATTATCACATCATCAAAACATTATTTATTATAAAAATCTAAAAATGAAGAAGATGTTCTAAAAGATTTTTAAGTATAATGAATGGAGATACAAGAAAATGTTTGAATCATTTGAGAAATAAGATAACTATTAAGAATTTCTGATCCAAAATCAATAATTATTCTTTAACAATGTACTTGGAACTATGAAGCACTTATTAGCAGCAGATTACATTTGGTATGGAAGAATAATGCAATTATAAAGCATATAAGTACCCTTTTTGAATGAGTAGAAGATATAAACCATAGATGTAAAATTCCTATAATTAAAAAAATAGCTAAAAGAACTTATTTTATTATGGTAATGCGATGATGACAAAATATTTGATAAGCTGCAGTTTGATTACGATTAAACAAAATTCTTACTTTTGGATATTAACTAAGTATTCTAATAACTTATTGAAAAATGTGATGATGCTTTCTTTGATTAAGAATTTGAATATCAAGATAGCAAAGGAGTCATTTAGAAAAAGGAAGCCTAAAATGTATTTTACCATCTTATTAATCATCATACACATCATATTGGATAAATATCAACTGCGTATACATAATAATTTGGAAGAAAAGATTACTTTTCGACTGATTTTATATATTTTAAATGAATTCATAATGAAACATGCTTTTTTTTATATTAAATACTATATTTTAGAAATTATATTCATCAACTTTTTTTTCATTTATTTTTTAAAAGCAAAATTACCCAAATTACATCTTTAATTTGTTAGGGAACAATAACTTTCTTTTTTTTCTTATTTATAACTAACTCTAGATTTAACAAGTGAAATTGATGAAGAATAGGAAATGTCATTTAAAAATTAGATTAATTAAATAAAGTTGATAATTTTTGGTATGCTTCCAAAATATCATCATTAAATAAGTTATTTAGTTAAGAATTTAATTATTTATTTGTGAAATCTACTTTTTCTTTTCAATCAGTTTTCTTCTTCACAATTATTCTATTAAAGTTAATTGATGTTAATAATTATTTTTTTAATTTTCTAAACGATTTCGGAAATGCAATGCGGAAAGAAATAATATACTTTAGGTATTTTATTTGATTAAGATAAAAATCAAATAGTATCAATAAATAATGAATTTGTAATTTTTTTGAGTAATACAAGAAAGTAATTAAAATTTTATAAATTCTAGACTTGTTAATTCTTGAATTATCTTAATAAAATTATAACTTGATGAAGATTTATTTCATTAAGTGACAATCCTACAATTATAAAAGTAGGAAAAAGATATGCTTGTTAATATTTGCATGGAGGAATAAAAAATTTTATAATTAAAATGTTTAATATAAACTATTTAGAATAACACTAAAGCCCTAATATGAATGGATTTTTTGTGCATTCATTACTTTTAGCAAAAGATTTTAAGTAGGTCAAAATGAATAAGTAAATTATTTATATATTTTTAGACATGTACTTATTATCCTGCCAAAATAAAATTTTATTCTTGTAGAATTTGTGTAGATGATGAATATTCATCAAGGATTGCAATTCTGGTTGAAAAATTAATCTGCAAACCTTGAATTACTGCTTTGATTAAAAAAATACTTTCGTTATATTTAAAAGCCTTTTAGTTTACATAGATCATTATTTATTTAAAATTAGTTTTATTATTATTACTGTTATTTGTTGTAAGTTTTAATCAAATCATTCTTATTTATTAAGATCACTTTTTTTAAGGTCAAATTCCTCTAAACCAGAAAATAGATCAATTTAAAAATCATAAATTGATTTTTCTTTCATCTTAAAAAGGTGAGAAACAACCAATTTTATATGAGCATTTTGTAAATACATAGTTAAAATAAGAAATCCTAAACAACTGAGTAAGGCTTTAGAAATTTAAAAGAGAGTAGCATCTGTAGTTTGAATATTAAAATATTCAAGCAAAAACATAAAAGCTGGTACTACACAAGTTAAGAGAAAAAAATAAGGAATTAGATATAATCCTTTGATAGCATTGATATGATTTTCATGTCCTCTAAAAGTTAGAATAATAATAATTACTTAAAAATTTCTTTGTTCATTCTCATAGCTTCTATTTTTTTGCTAATGCTTTTTAAATCAATTAATTGTATTATAGATTAAGAAATAACTGGTAAAAAGAAGCAAATTAAGCTTAATGTTATTATTCTCGTAGAAAGTCTTTTTGAGAAATCCTCAGTTAATTAATTTTGTGATTAGTTAGTTGAATTACAAAAGTTACTTTAAATGGTATTAAAGTGATATTATAACCAACAGACATTATCGAATAGTCCATATATAAAATCATCATAATTATTTGTATATTCATCTTCAATTTCATTTACATAATCAGAAGACTATGGTTTGATATTTGAACTTAATTATGGTAAAATAGTGCAAATTATTGGAAAAAAAAATCCAAATGCAATTAAATTAAGCTAAATATAACATAACTTTACATGAACTGATAGTTATTCTTATTTTTTATATAGTATAGCTTCTTTTGCAATTTTAATTAGAACAGTTTGCCAACTAACCACATTCATAACTCCATAAACAGAGATATAAGATGTGATTTAACAAATTGATTTTACTAAATTATTTGGACAGCTACAAATACCATAGCATTAGTTTGAATAATAATATACGTTGAAAACAAAATCTAATAAAGTATAAAGGCTTGTTCCTAATAAAATGTAAAGTTGTATGGTATATGAAAATAATTTGAAATTATCTGATTTATAGTAGATAATTATCATAGTCACGCAACATAATAATGAAGCAACAGACATAATTAATTCAATTAATGGATAAGTACATCCTTAGCAACAATCTTGAATATTCATTTTTTATAATAATGTAAAATAGCATTTATAATTTATTAAAACATCATATTTATTATTCAATTATATATGAAATTTAGAAAAACTATTGTTTTTTAGTAGATAAAATAATATTCAAAAGTCTTTTCTTTGATTGTCTTAGAGAAGTATCCTCATAATCTTTATTAATTTTTCATTATAATTATGTATACAAATAATTTCCAAATCAAGTGATAATTTTCTGTTATTTAAATCATTTAATAAAGATATGGCTGATTCTACTTTTTTAGTTTAAAAGAGGAATCTTTTTTTTCCAGTTCTTCTTTAATTAATAGCTTTTATTTATATTGAAAAAAATATTTTGATTTATATATTTTTTTTTTGTTGCTTTAAGTCTTGCAAATTTCAAATAAATTTTAAAAGAGAATTTCTGAAGAGTCCTCTTCTTAACTTTTAGAGTATTAAATTAAATTTGTTCTATAAATAACTTAATTATCTTAACTCTTATATTAATGAATCAATGTAATTATTTAGTTTTGAAGTAATTTCTGTATTATGTAAGATATTATAGATAAATTTATGCAATACTCTGTGTCATCTTTAAAGATTTAACATTCATATTATTATATCAAAATGTTGATTTAATTAATTTATTTAATCTTTATCTTATTGCATTAAGAAAATTATATATTAGAAATTCTTAATCCACAAGACAATTTCAAAGTATATTAATTAATTGTTTATTTTTGACTTTGTGGTAATATAGAAAAATGGCTAAAATTCTGATTACATATTATTATTTTTCATACTTCATTGTTGATTTTTAATGATGTAATTAGTTTTATTAAATTATGCAAAAAACAATCATATTAATCTTGTCCTGCTTACTTGCTTTGTAGGCCTTAGAAACTCAGTCATTGGATAAGGATGAAGTTGACATTGTAAAACTTAATGCCCTTTTTGGTACTAATTATCAAGGATAGATGTAAGATCATTTAATAGATTTATAGCTATTCTGGTTATCTTAGTGCAAAAGATGATGGATCAGTCTAGTTTCATTACCTTTTTTATCCAGCTATTGATTCAGCTTCTGAAAAACCTTTAATACTCTGGTTACTTGGAGGACCTGGATGTTCATCAATGATTGCAGCATTTACAGAAAGTGGTCCTTATACCTTCATTTCAGAATCTATTGAATTTGAAGAGAATCCTCATACTTGGACCGCATTTGTAAACTGAAAAATTTATGATTTAGGCCAATATACTTTACATAGAATCTCCAATTTCTGTTGGATATTCTTATGGTCCAGCTGGAGCATAATCTGATGAGTCAACTGCTGAATACAATTTGCATGCATTAATTGAGTTTTTTGTAAGATTTCCAAACTTCAAAAATTAAAAATTCTATATTGGTGGTGAATCATATGCTGGCATTTATGTACCAACCTTGACTCAAGAGATTATAAAATATAATTAACAACCAGTTAATCCAGAAGTCTTAAGAATTAACATTTAAGGAATAATAATTGGAAATGGTTGCACTGATCCAAGTGAGTGTACTTTATTAGGATATCTTTTTCCAAGACATAGATTAGATTTTTATGGAAGACATGGTTTCATTAGTGAAGAAACCTATAAAAAAATAATTGATCATACAGAAGAATGTTATGGATCTACAACACCATTTTGTTAAGCTTTAGCATACGAGGCTTTAGCTTAAATTACTGGACCCTAATATTCCTACAATTTAAATCAATATAATGTTTATTCCAAATGTGTTAGTTATACTCCTGAAGGAAGTAAAAGAATGAAAAGTCCACTTCGAGTTTCAGATGAAGAGAAAAATGATTCTGATGTACCTCCATGTGTTGATGTGAAAGGTCTATATCATTGGTTTTAGAAAGAGGAAGTTCGAACTGTAAGCATTTTTCAAAATTATTCTAGTTATTGAATATAGATACAAAATCCCCTAAATGGGTTGCTTGTTCATTAAATTTCCAAGATTATTAAATTAATCCAAATGGATCATTAGATATTTACCCCATCATCATGAAAAATAATATCAGAATTCTTATTCTTAGTGGAGATGTAGATGGAGTTGTTCCAATTGCTGGCACTCTTTATTGGATTGATAAACTTCAATAACAGTTATGTAATTCAATTATATATCAATATAAGAGTTGAATACAATAAAACCATGGAGACCCTGGTATGTTCCTTCTTTAAGAGAATTTGATTAAGTTTAAAATGCTGGAAATGTATTTGATATTGAAGGTTTGACTTTTGTAAGCTTCAGAAATGCAGGTCACGAAGTACCTGCTGATCACAAATTGGAATCAAAAATAGTCTTAGAGAAATTTTTAAGATAGGAATATTTATGAGATTCAATTTTTATTTTATATGCTTATTAAAAAGCTTAAATTGATAAATCATTAGTTTTTCATAAATAAATTAATAAATAATGATTTTGAATCACTAAAAAGTATATCTAAATCAAAAAATATTTAGTTATAGGGAAGGAAAGATATTAATATATTTGAAAGTGTAAATAAAACTTTAAGTATAAATTCAGATGAATCTTTCTAAAATCATCAAAAAGATTTCCAAACTCAAATAATAAATATATTTCTAAAGGGATAGAAAATCCTACTATTAATGATTCAAAAACCATAAAGAACCAAGAGATTTCACTAAAAAATACATAAGGATTAGATTGAAATGGAGAGATTGAATATGAAAAATATGATATATGCTCATTATGACATAGAATGTTAAAACCAGATTCAAAGGTTAGAATAACAATATAGAATTGTCTATATTTTTTAAAGGATATCGATTCTTACAATAAAATTTATTAAGATTAAAATCTTCAATCAGTCAAATCAATTACAATAATTGATTCCTTGTTTGATTAATTAACTATTTAGAATTTTCAATCGATATTTAGAATAAGTTCTATCTTAATACATATATCTATTTCATTTCACTCCTCTTTCACTGACTCCCCTTGATAATGAAATATCACCTGGAATATTTAAAACTGGAGCCTTCATTGGGGATATTGTCTCGTTCAATTATGGATTTTATGGCTGCAATAATTCGCTTTTTACAATAGGTTATATTTGAGGGATGTATGAATTATTTCCTAACATTTCGGATTGTTTTTGTTATCGAAATTTATTAGGAACATCCATACAATTATTTACTTAAGTATGATCATTATGACTTGGCTTTTAATTATGTGATGTGCCTTTTTTGGCTTTATCAATTTACTTATTCATGTACATTTATGAATACTTTTCATCTATTTACTATAAATATGTTGCCGTTGGTATTATATTTTTTGCTATTGTTTATTTATATATGCATACCTCCACCATGTTGTGAGCTATTTTACATTTTTTATGTTGAGAATGAGGAGCTATGAAGATCTTAGGATTTAGAAGTGTCAGCAAGAAGAATGTTAAATTTTATGTCATTATTAGAATGCTTATTTGCCATTTATTTTTATTATTAATATTGTACTAAACCATAATTATCATGATCTATAAAGATTTGGTCTTTTTGCTTTGAAAACAGTTCTGAATTTTTTATGGCTTGCTCTTGGAACAGTCTTAACAATTGGGAATTTTATTGAATCTCCCTTTAATAAATAGCAAATTCATATACTCTATATTAATTTGTTTTGCCTCTCTTAATATCAGCACTCTTTGTCAATACAGATGTTCTGAGAATGTGAATTGTTTATGGCTA